GTACACCACCGACCAGGAATTCACCTACCACCCCAATGCTACACTTCCCCCGCTTCCTTTCAGCAGTTTGATACCGAGTATACTTCAACATCCGACCGGGGTCTTTAGCCCCCAAGTACTCTCGGTCGGAAATGTGATCCAACTGAACAGTTCTGTCTTCAATTTTACGGTTGCCGGGGCATTTGACGATAACACTGGACCGGTTTCGTCCTTCTCGTATTACAATAATCCGCTCTCTGATGGTTGTGATATTGTGAGTTCCTTTCCCCCGATGAACTCTGGTTTTCAAGCTAAACTGGGCCTAGGCGCGCATGACTGCTTACATGCAGAAAGCCATGACTGGGGATCCAGCCACGATTCTGCAATTGACGGTAAGATATCTGAACGGGACCTTCGAAACTCGTAAATTCAGACCAAGTCATACTCAGGTCACCGTCTCCTGCCACAACCCAACCCACTTCATGTTGGATTGGAACGGGACTGTCTACCTGGACAAAGACTTCCTCTCTTTTGGCTCTAGTCCAGTGCGAGATGATCTGAGCCTACTGGCGTCGGACCTGGTGAGGCGTGAAACTTGGCACCGTACTGTGCGAACACTGAACGGTCCTCGTTTCCAGGTAATCTTATTCGAAATTTGGTCTGTGGATCTTTGTCTATCTCCAACCACTCTCTGACCCGATTACTAGGGACCTTCTTGCAACTACGGACATCGTTCCTCTTTTCAACTATGGTATCACCGTGGAACCGTGGTGCAACTGTAGCACAGTCTCATCCACAAGTCTCATTCCAACCCAGCCACCGTGCAGCTCTCTGCCTGTCTGTCTGGTAGTTGTTGAACAACAGATGAGCGTTGGACCGCCTCCGAAGGGATCGAAATCTGAACCGCTGGGCCGTACACCAACGGACGTCGACTTGGTGCCGAGACGCCTCGGCCAGGTCAAGGATCCGAACTGGTCGGGCCTCGACACTCTGCTCCATAACACACTACAATCTCTCTACCATGTTGTGCGCCTCGAGCTTGGCATCATCCTCGAAAATCAGATCTACCTGGTAGCCGGGATGTACAACCGCAGCATCTCGGATGTCTACGTTCCGTCTTTTATCGAGGCTGACGACGGCGTGATGGATGAATTGACTGCAGCAAACGACTCTCGCCGCGAGACCTCGAACGCAACGGTCATGGCAAAATGGGTGCAATGTGTCGAGGTGTTCGAGCGCAGCGCCCGCGTTCCAGTCATGCCGTATCTGCGCCCCATTCCCCGCCTGAAACCCTTGGGCTCGGCGGTCACTAGTGTTTTCGTCTCGACATTTGCCATGCTCTCCGTGCTGTGGACGATATTCGGGATTATCGCAGGCGCATTCGCCAAAGAAAGAGCCGGTAAGTCGACGCCCATCCCCTTCGCCGAACCTTTGTAAACTCTGCTCACTCGGAAGAAGACGAGGCGGACAGAAAAGACCTGGAGACAGCTGCGAGCTTATTGTCCTGCGAAAAATACGGAGATTTGGAGGAACAGAAAGGTAGCCTGCCGTCGCAGGAGGATTGAGCGTTTCCTGATGCAGCATTTATAGGCGGGAATGCTGATTCCGAAAACGATCTCGAGAATTCTACCAAAGCGCAACTACTCCATCGTCTCGCGCGTGCAGTCGAGGCGAATAGCAGCGCCATCGCAGAGATACAACGCTTCCAGATGCGTATGCGAACTGCACCGGAGACTGACAGCAGTACGGGCAAGAGCAATACGGACAACGGGAAGGAAGAGCAGCGGCTTGACAAGTGGTGATATCTACTAGTAAGATCTTTCGACGTTCCAGCAAAAGATAGCTATCCCCCTTGAAGATATGTATCCTCAAGTTTTTGTATGATATTCGATACTACTTAGGCAAGCCTCCCGAGCATTTCCTTGAATTTATAGCTGTTTGCAGAAGGTTCCCTCGTCTCATCGTGTTAAGCTAGATATGTAGATACAGGGGATCAATGTAACTGAGCAGGTTCAAGACTGGGTTTTAACCGGATTAGGGGGCTGGCGCTCCCGCTTCTTGTTTATTTAATCGAAAGGATTTACCTGGGTTGAACAGAACTCAGCGAGAGGTTGAGGTCTAAAGTATTCCAACTCTGAACACCACGTTCTCCTGCAACACCAAATATTCCGTCTGCGGTATCGCGCGTTCCAACGGGATCGAACCCACGGACAATGGGGTGATGTTGCGTTCTCATTGGACCGATCAAAATTTAAACTCCGATTGTTCTTTCTTCCCATCTTGGTCAGGAACTTGACTCAGGGTCTCGCTTTGAAGCTCCAATCTATCGCTCATGGCTGTCTCTTGCTGCTGTTGCCTATACCCCGCTCGGAGTTCCTCACTAGCAGACCAGGTCACAGGCACTGAGTTCTGGTCGAGTTCTGACGTGGAAGTTCTGCGGTTCTGGATCTCCATGCTCCCGGATTTTATCGAGGGTCGGGAGCGTCTGTGCCTCAAGCTACTTGATTGCCTTTCTGCGGGCCAGGCTCAGGCCGATCGGCCGGATTTGGAAAGATGAGCCGAAAGCCACTCAGACGGAGCCGAAAGTCAATCTCATTGTGGCCGCACGGCCACACATAGGCCACCCGATGCTCGCAAGTTTGCCACTGTTTATTACCTGCCTGAAGCGCGCCGCTTGTAAGTCAACCACCACAACGCTTTGGTCTCTACCTCATCCCCCCCACTCCGATCCCCCCCCTCTCCCCCCAACCCCACATCCCGTTTCACCTACCCCGCCCATCATGGGTCCCAGCAATGCAGTCTTTCCGGCATTTGCCTTCATTGGATTTATTCTCAGTCTTGTGCCACTCAACTTCCAGCTCGAGGCATGGAACGTCGGGGCCGTCTGGTATATCTTCTGGACCGCCCTCTCCTGCATGGTTCAGTACTTCAGCTCGATCGTGTGGGAGAACAGCACAGAAAACTCCGCGCCGGCGTGGTGTGACATCTGTACGTCGTCCCTCTTGCAGCACTTGGCCAACGCTCATGCCTTTACAGCGATCCGCATTATGATGGGCGCGTCGGTGGGCATCCCTGCGGCGGCGTTGTGTATCAATCGTCGACTGTATTACATCGCGAGCGCGCTGCCAGCCACGGTCGTCAGTAAGCAAGAGGTACGTCTCTGTTCTGCTCCTTGTCGTGCCACCGTGATATTTACCGTCCTCAGACCCGCCGCGCCATCATCATCGACTCGTTCATCTGCGGATTGTTCCCCGTTCTGTACACCGGCCTTCAAATTGTCGTGCAGCGCCACCGGTACGACATCCTGGAGGACGTCGGCTGCGTCGCGGCCCTGTACAACTCCCCTCCGACCTACTTCATCTCCTCCGCCTGGCCACTTATCATCAGCCTCAACTCTGCCGTGTATCTGTCCCTCTCCCAGTGGGCATTTGTCGGCGCGCGTGCCACCCTTGGTGAACGTCTTTCGGCACACAAGAATCTCACGCCTATGCGGTTCATGCGTCTCAGTGGGCTCGCCTTCGTCGTGCTCTGCCTCACCGTCCCTCTTGGCCTGCTCACCATTGCGACCAATGCCACCGCCGTTCGCATCTCGACGGAGGTCTCCGGGGACGTCGCGCCCTTCGACTTCAGCCTCATTGCCCAGATCCCACGCGACATCTGGGCCGCAGACTACACCAACCACCTCACCGTCGAGCTCACGCGGTGGCTGGGCACCATATGCGCCCTTGTTTTCTTTGGGTTCTTCGGTGTCGCTGAAGAGGCGCGCGCCAACTACGCGCGGGCGTATACAATCGTATCGATCGCGTTCTGGAATACCTTGGCCCGCATCGGCTACACCCGTCCCCTGCCTCCGCTTCCCAGCGCGCCGATGACGGACGCCGCATCCATTCAGCTATGCACCCTCCGCACGTACAACATCTCGCTGCCAATTCGCCCGGCATCCGGCACGGGCTCGTTCGCCGACTTCAACACGCCCAGTTCGCAGCATCTTTCCAGTGCCGATTCGGTGCGCAAAGCCCAGTTCGGGAACCCAATGACTCGCTCGGTTGCCGCGTCGGAACTCGACACCAACGAGCTACCCATGTCTTACGCCCCCGCCCGCCCGTCTTCTGTGCTCGAGGGCGACTGGGTGCCGACAAAGCATGGGTTGTACTTCCGTGCGACGACCGACACGCCGGAGGGAACTCTGATACAGGCACAGGGCCCTCCGCGCGTCATCGAGCGAGCGTTGCCCCCGACGCCGAAGGAGCCCAGCGCCGTCCCTCGTGGGCGAAAACTCATCTAAACAAATCCACGACATACAAACCAAACCAAGAACTCGCTATCCATTCCTTTATCGCATCCCACGACGTTGACGTCACATCCTCCATTCGCCCAATGCTCATGCACTCACGCTAGACATCCGGCGCACACTCGCTCTCTGCATTTTCTTTCGGATCGTCCGCACACTGCGCACCATACCTGTCATTCTCATCTCAGCATCGACATTGTCAACCCACACTCACTGTATCGCTAGCTACCAGTCTCTCCTGTACTTGCCTCTCTAACTTTCTCATCGAATTGAATAAAATTGATTACTGCTTGACTCATTGAACTTGCACTGCTACTGTTTTCTCTGACATCTGCCATGCACTCGGGTTCAGGAAGGGGTTGGCGCCAGGCGGTCAAATCTTCCTCGAGCATCCGTTCTCCCGACTGCATAGGTACATACCAGGATCAAGCCCCAGCGGTTTGCGTTAGATAGGATTCATAATTGAGGACCTCTGGCTCAATAATTGAATGATTTGTGGGAGGGACTTGAAGTCACGGTCGATACGACCGCTGATCCCGCTTGATTTACGAATACTAGTGTTTTCCTCATTTCGAAATGCTTTCCGAACGCGGCTTTCAGTTACAGTCAGTCTTTCCGATGTAGATAGATATCAAGTTTGTAAACTTGTAAACAGTCATTGGAAAAATCATAAGATCCGTGATTGCCAGCGGGGACCAGACTTTACAGTGTCACTCTCGTCTTTTTCATAGCATTAGTGGGGTAGTGGTAACCTGGGTCGTTGCCAAATATCGAACTGAGTTCGACCCGCCGGGAGTTCGATTCTCTCCTAATGCATTTCTTTTTTCGTCCTTGTCAATATATCCCACCTGCAGAGCAAACTCATTGCGTTTTAGCTCTTCTTACTACGATCAGGGGATTCCATAAATTTGTTCTTCCGACCCATCCATCATCAGGCAAACACCTGTCGTATCGGCACTGACGGGATGACGGCGACAGTTCCACGGCACAAGATAATAACGGCAAGGTAAAGCAGGTGCTTCGAATTGGCTTCGAATGTGAGTTATCTGATTGAGTTGCACATAAGTATCTCATGGGGAGCAACCATGCATGTGCTGGCGTCGTCTTTGATTAGGCGGCCGCTTGGCTGATATGCATGATTTCAACTGCCAAATTATCTTTTGTCCCGTCCTATTCTGTTCACCGTTACGATTTTGCACCTTTAGGTCTATCGTGGATATATTCTAAGTCTTTGTGACGTACTTAGACAGATATCATTGCAAACTTGTAAACTTCAATAATGCGGCATCTTCCATATGGGGACGGCAAAAACGAGTCATCGGCAGATTCGGCATCCTTTCATCTTTGATCTTTCCCCCCATGTCGTTTACGACTTTACATTTCGCCATGATACACTGTCTATCCAGCTTCTGCTCGGATATATAAGTGTATATATATCGGTGGTGCGCTCATTCCTACACCTGTGACGTGTCCCCCGCCACAGATCAAGCTTTACAGCCCGGCTTTCACTTTTAGTTGCCAGTGACAGAGATTACTTCTAGCATGCATAGACAGCCAGGAATGCTGTGGGATACTGACATATTGACTCATTCTATCCTAGCTTCCATCTGGCACTCTATGGTCTCTTCTACCCTGAGCTTCGGCGGCCTGTGTCAAGTCGAGTCAAGTGTCTAATTCCCTCTGATGAGCCCCGGTCTTGGCCCCGGTGCAACTTGGGTCGGCACGCCTCTGCCCCTGAACAGCATCGATCTGTGGGTCCCGCCGAGATCTCACGCACACCTGGGTGTGTCACGATTCCATTCTTCGACCGGATTTGGAACAAGGTCTCCGTCGTTTGGCTACCACCTCTGCGCGCACGCCATGTTGGCTCTAGACTGGCCTCGGGCTTTCGAAGGACGTTGTGGAGAATATACTGCGGAAAAACAGTGCCCAGCACGTCGCGCGGCAGTGGGAGGTCCTATCGCTGGTCGGCGGTGCTCAGCTTCAATTCTCCGCGGGCCTTCCAGTTCGGCGCGGCCCCGAAAAAGATAGACCGGCGCTTCACAGCATCTGTTAACCCATTTGGCTGACGGCGCCGTGCGCCGACGTTCCCCACGCCTGGATATGACTGGGTCTCTTTCCCGCTGTAGAACCCCCTTTTCTCGCCGTTCTTCCTCGCCCTTCATTCCATAGCGCTGTCCTGAACATCCGAGTCCTCATGAGCTCCCCGAACGAGGCTCGCTGGCTCACCCTCTAGACGATTTGTTCAGCATAGCCGACTCGCTTTCAGCCTCTCTCTCTGCTCTTTCACGCAATTCACATTGCAGTGGCTCACCCGGCTTCCTGATTCTTTCCTTACGGTCCCTCCCGTACACTGCCCGAAGGCCCGACCACTGCGCCGCGTAAGTGTACAAATAGGGCTCCCGCCGTCCCGCCCCTTTCCTCCATGAACCCTGCCCAACAGCAATATGCCATCGCAATCATGGCCGAGCTGCGTGGGTGGGCAAGGGAGTGGCTGGAGGGGCTGCGCCAGAGCCGCGCGCTGAACCGCACGCTGGGGCTCCCAGACGACTCCCTCCCCAGCGGGTTCCCGTTCGGCGACTTCTCCCTGACGCGCAGGTTCGGTTGGGTGCACGAGTACGGCGCGGAGGAGCTTCGCCACGTCTACCCCGTCGCCTTCGTGTTCCTCAGGCGCACGCACGGGCCCGGGTCCTCCGTCGCGTGGAGCCTGAATACCGAAGGTAAGCTGCGCCATACAAGCTAATATTCGCAACTCACCTCCAAACAGGGCCGATCCAGCTCGGCGTGTTCGAGATCGCGGGGCGCGTGTACGACGACGGGCGGCGGCCCTTCCGGATCGACGCCGATCTTGTTTTGGAAGGGATGGTCGCGTCGCTCGACGCGCACGAGCCTGTGCGGCTCGCGAGCCGCGACGCCCCTCTGCAGGACACGGCGCCGCCGCATGCGGTGCGGCTGGCGCGGGTGTACGAGCTGCGCACACCCGGCGGGGTTGTGATCCGCCGGCTTGGGGTGCGCTGGGCATGAGGAGCTGCTAACAGCTGCCGTTGAGAGGGACTGCTGTAGTACGAGCACTGAGCGGTGCTATATCTTCGGTCGCTGGCCATCCTTGGAGTCATCGGACATGATGTGGCGGGGATAGTGTTTCAGACCCGCCGCAGTGGAATGTCGCGAGCAGCGGGTTGTTGTTAACTTGTTCTGTGTACTCATTGTCTGAGCTACTCATATATGTCGCTGCCAATTAGTTTGTACCTTGTACTATCCGGCGGCGTACGACAATCACGGAATTCGGACAATAAAAACATGAACGAGAACAAAGGCGTCGGCAGTGTGTTGCTATTCCATGGAGACCAGTGTTCCTAAAAGAGAACAAGGAGGATGTCAACTTCGCGATGTTGGTCACGCTTGAGATTTGCTTGAGATGGCAACTCAGGAGGAAGCGTTATGTGCACTCTGAACCGATTGAACTATCAACTCACTGAGTGATCATGACATCCAGCAAATCTCCATCACCTTTCAACCATGTAATCCAAGTTTCAACCGTCGGAAAAGTTTGGTTCAAGTTTGATCGGATATCTTTTCGACGGACGTTCTTCATCGGCCAAGAAGATACGAGAGAGGTTGAGTTCTCCGTATCGATTGTACTCTAGAAAGGATACTCATTCTGCCCGGCGTTCAAACCGAGCCCTCCAGCATGCGCAGATCGTGCGGCGTAGGTGGCTGTGCGTCATTTCGAGTCATACCGATGACATGACGCTGCCACGTTTCTTCCCATCGACAATGACATGTCCGAGTCCTGAGCGCGGCCGCAGCGGGGCAGCCCACCGTCTGCATCGCTCGTGCCGAGCATCCGAGATACCTCAGACCGAACTGGACTCGCACAAAGCCACCCCACACTCCTCAGGCGTCAGAACGAGGAACGAGCGAGGCAGTCTAGGGGAGTCTGTGAAGAGAGACTACTGAAGGCGTGCGCGCGCGGGGGAGCCTCACTTCAACTTGCCGAACGCGAGTCTTCCTCTTTTCTGGTCTGCCAACGTCTCGCATCAGGATCCGGGGTCTGGAGGCGCTGAAGATCATCGAGCCGGATATCCTCGCTTTACTTACCGTGGAACCCATAGACGCCCTCGCTGCTCCTTGTTTCGTTCTGTGGACGGACCAACAAAGGGTAGCCTCACCGCTCGTCGCCCTCGTCAAACCTCGCCTCGACGCCATGCACACCCCATGATTTCGGGCCTTACGACCAGCGAGTCTCCGCATGCCAATGCGGTCGCTCGAAAGCCATGCGATGTGCCACCGTATCCCGCGAACCTTGACACATCCCCTCGACACATCCTCCGCCACGCCCTGAAATGCCGTCCAGCACGCCAGGCGCCGCTCGATGCGGGTCCCACGCTCCCTGAGCCCACGATGAATTCTGCAGCATCTCCACCCGCCTCCGTCCTTGTCGGACCCACGCCCGCCGCCTCTGGGAGCGCGGCGGTGCATCAACGCTGTCCGACGCCCACGACACGTCGTCTGTTCCACGCTCGCCACACGCTCCCTGATCCCCTCGGCCACCGTCGCCTCCGCCTCCGCCTCCGCCTCCGCCTCCGCCTCCGCCTCCGCCTTTCGCTCCTCGCGGTCGCGGTCGCGGTCGCCCTTGCCGAACACCGTCTCTTTCTCCACGTCGCATGCGGCATGGGCACGGCGCAGCGCGAGCACGCAGACCCGGATCACCGTCGCGAGCGGAGGGATGCGTGCTCGATCAGAGCAGCGCGCCCCCGTCCCCCGTCCCCCGAGCGGTGCGTCCATTCATCTTCATCTCCATCTTACTCCCCACGCAGCTGACGTTCCATGGGTCTTATAATTAGCGTCAAGCCAGCAGCGATATCGACACGGGCTGAGCGAGTCTTATTCACCCCACCCCCCCTTCGCCAGGGCGCCCCCCTGTACCCGCCCCTCCCGCAAGTCCACATCGGCCCCCGCCGCGCCTCGTGCCCGCGCCCGCGCCCATCCCGCCCCACTCGCCCACTCGCCCCGAGTCCGAGTCCGCTTCCCCATCCCACGCCACCGACGCCCGAGCGCGCAACACGGACCTGCGCGTCGCCAACCCGCCGACCCTCCTCGCACGCCGGCTCCCGTCGAGCCGCGGCGCAGGGTATACGCCGTCGAGCGCAGGGTGGGCGCTGTGTGCGTGCACGCGTTGGCGGCGCCCGACTGCGCGTCTGCGTCGACGCGGGGATACGCCGGGCGCGCGTTGCGACCGGACATTGGACGCGGCGTATGGCCGGCTCGAGGTCTCTACTCCCCGCTCGAGGGTGATAACCACCCCGGCACGAAACTACCTCGTCGTTGTCGAGACCGCCCGACGTTCTAAGTTCTAGGACGCTTCTCCCCACCGTGACGGCCACTGGGAACGGAACGAATCCACCCACACTCGAGGCCCTTGTTCCGTCTCCTTCTCCGTCCCCTTCCTCCCCCTTCCTTGCGGGCGGGGGTGGCTCTGCCTGCGGTGGGGTGGACGCGACTCGCGACGCGCTGCGCGGAGTCTGACACGCGAATGGGGCGATGCGGACGCGGCGACCGACCTTCCGTGGTCCGTGGTCGGAGGTGTCGTGGTCCGGAGTGTCGTGGGTGAAGCGGGAAGCACTGCAAGCAGTCGCGGCCCTCGGGCGACATTGACAAGGCTCCGCGGGCGGCTCGACGGGCGACGGGCGACGGTGCGGCTACGCGCGGGAGACGCTGGCCAGGGCGCTGACGTGCGCCAGAGCGGAGCGGGGGGAGCTGGAAACGCTGCGCCGGGGCCCAGTGGAGTTAGGGGTGTGCACCCCCGAGCACAC